CCCAAACTTTTTCATGCATACAAGTAAACACAGACAATTACACTCATGGGCAAAAGAGAAAAGAGAAGGAGATCGTCCTCGATAAACAAAAACATTTGACTCTTAATCCTCGACGTGACTAAAGTCAAATGTGAAAGCATGCTGTGTATAGAGGTACAAGTAAATATTTGAAAACGGCTCTAAAAACAAAGTTATTCTGTTTAGTGCCTAAGCCAGCAGTTCATTCATAAAGGATTCCCCGAGATTATTTTCCTTCCTATATCGTGACAACTTTTGCAGGGCTGCAGGAGCCTCCGGGGCTGAGCTTTGCCCCTTCAGACTCACTTCCAACAGCCTCCCAAGTATTGGAGTGAGCTGGTAGCATCATGGGGTATCCAAAAGACCCCAAATTCCAGGAAATGGCTAAATTCCTTGCTGCATGCAAGAAAAATCTCACTTTGCATCCTGAGTCATGAGCTCACGGATCCTTTCCTCAGAGAGCCAGCCTGCCCGTCCTGCAAGGCAGCACCACAACTCGCTTTCCTCCCGCCGACTCCAGCTCTTCCTCGCTTCCTTCCCAGCAGGGGCTTAGCGGTTAGGAGGGACAACACTACTGGGACAATAAAGGACACTAAACTATGTCGTGGACCCTGACCCCACCATCCCATTTTTGCACAAATAAAACTAACCAGGAGGTATCCTAAAGGGATCCTTATCCTAAGGGAAAGCCTCACTGTTACACATAGGCACCCTCCACCTCTTGCAGGTGAGGATTTATCACGCCTTTCAGGCACAAATATTGGCTTTAAATCAAGGAGGAAAGAGTTACTGTAATGCCATGGTGTTCCTGAAGGCATGTAGTCCTGGAAAACGAGGAAAAAAGGCCAGAAGCAAAAACAAACTTTCATAGTTAATGCCTTCGTTGGCTCAAAACAGTCCTGACTTGAAGAGGAAACAGCAAACCTTGGGCATTATCAGTGCAATAACTGCAGGTATCAGTATGAGAATGGTTTGTCCCAAGACTTATCAATAACGTGTTGATCATTAAAACTGGCAACATGAACTTCCTCAACTTGGTGCTGTAAGAAGCACCGGAGTTGTCAGTTTTGTGCTCATCAAACTTTGTAACAGCAGGTTGATTGAAGGCGTTGCATGTGAGAGTTTAAATCTCCGCTAATTTGAAAGCTTTTAGTCTGAAACTACTGCCTCTTCAGAAGCGTTTCACTCGAGAAGCTAATAACAACTAAACAAGACATCAAGTAAAACTGCCTTTGTGAAAATCAACACACTGCAAGGTAAGTCATGTTTCTAACACATGCCGTCCTATGAAAACCTTCCTGACCTCACAGTTATTATTAACCTTAAGTATCTCAGGGTGCAGCAAAGAAAATGCATGTTGTTTCTGAACCCTTCCTAGCTTCTAATGTATCATTAGCGGTACAGTTGCCACCACCTCTCTCGTCCCTCATCTTAAAATGACCTGTGATTCCTCTGAAGCGGGAGGCCGAGGTTTCGAAGGGGACAGCAGGGAGCACAGGCTGCAGGCCACAGCCACGGAGAGCTGGAAATAGTTAGGAGCTAAGGTTACAGATAGGAGATGGGGCCAGGGCTACAAAGCGGAACGATGAACCATTTATTTCCTATTGCCTTTGCCTTGTGGCTTTCCAGCACCACTCACTACCTCACACTAGGCACTTTTGGTGGAAGACACTATAGATTAGCAGCAAAAGACAAGACATCCTGCTTCTCTCGCATGTCCAGGTTCCCACAAGGAAAGCAAAACTGCATCACTCCTGGGACACACAGCAAAGGAGTAGGTCTTCACCGGGTCCTTCCGATTCGGGTTAAGAAAACAAATTTTCACCCCCCAAGATTATATGGTTCCCTCAAGGACCGTATATGAGAAAACCTCTAGCAAACCTCCCCTCGTGTCTTTCTCTCTCCCCTTTTTCTTCGGCTTTCCTTTTTAACCAAACCTGCTGTTTTACTGGAACATTTCACATTTTCAAGCACATCCTCCTCCTACCAAGCAATCGCATCCGAACACACACACACATACCTCAAGAATATACAGAAGGTCATGTGAAACTACTGAAAAATAACTGAAACATGATTTAAAGGCCTCATTTCCCAGGAAACTCCTACACAGAGCTGTCGCTCTGGAAATGTCATGTGGCTGTTGGCTGCACTTAAAACCTGAGATTCCCAAGCTTGAAGGGTCTCCCCGTGCACAACACGAGCTCCCATGCAAAGAGCTGGCAGGGCCTTTGACTCCTACGGATAGGAGTGCCTGAGGTGACACACAGGCTGCTTCCTGCAGGAATCTCTCTGATTCGAAACCATTGTGAGAAATTCTGTGAAACTGCCGTTTTCCAGACGGAGCTAGTAATAAAAATAAGATGGATTATTTGTCTGAAGGAGATGCAGGAATAATAAACATATTATACATTGCTTTATTTATGCACACATTTCCTAGAGCATATGCACTAGTGTCCTTGTCAAGGGCCACGTGTTTCGAGTTGCTTAGGACTGCACAGAGGCCCTTCCCAAGGGGCACAAATAAGCAGGGCAGTGAGCTCACGCGAGGCTCAGCTGAGCTCAGCTTTACATATCAGAGAAAAATAAGCAGGTCAGTCCCATCATCAGTCGACATGGTGCTTTTTTCCCCCCGTATCAGCAGAAATATCACAAATTGCAACGTGGCTCTCAGCATCTCCCCCTTGCAGCTGCAGAGCTGCTAGGGAACCCTGCGAGGTCTCTGTTTGCAAGCACAATTTCAGTGCAGAGCCCTGGCCCCGACAGCCAACCACCAGGCAGGATCATGCCGTATTTCTGTAGTTTGAAAAGAAAATACTGCATCTGATAAAGAAACCGTAATAAAGATTATTTCACAGGCCTGTATTTTTAAGGGTATTTTGTCTATTTGACAGCTGTCGGAAGACTTAACTTTTTGTAGGAGCAATACCAAATAAGGAAAATCTGAGGACAGATCATATCTGTCCAAGGCAAATCAGCCTTTTCCTGAAAACTAGTGAAAACTAGTCGGCACTCTATCCAAACTGGCAAGGAAAATCGTATTACCATCACACAGTCAATATTTCCTCACATAAGTTAACATTCAATATTTTATCACTTCAACCTAATATTCTTGAAGTGGACATTGAGTGTTTAGATTGCAGAAATTGTTGCTCTGAGATGGCAGTTTGCCCATAATGACATTATCAACGTCATTAGCAGTGAATGACACCCATGAAACAGTTTCCTACTGAGTTAATATTCTTATTCTTTTCCTGAGTCTATTTATCCAGGCTTCTGATGTCTGCCCTTCATGCCTTGAAGATAATTTCCCGCTTGATATCAAAGGGCAAGCATTTCTCTAATCAAAATAGAATGTATATTTGGTTAGGCACTGAACAAATAAAACAATGTATAACAATGGCCACTCACTATTTTTTATTCCGGAAAAAAACATCTCTTCTAAGAAAGATGGAGATCAATACAGAGATCAATGTACTACTCTAAGTGTATAATACTGACTTTCAGAATGCTAAACCGTCACCTCCTGTTCTCGTTTTTAAAAATCTTTTATCCTATGACAGCAAATTTTGTGTGACTGAACGAAATTAGCAGAGTAGAAAGCTCTTCTGGCAAGCAATTGTGCTAATTTAGCAAGCAATTGTGCTTGCTAAACAAAAAGGTGAAGAAAACCTGAACAGAGTCAGAGTTCAGATCCAAGGAAGCTGAGAGCTACAAGAAGCTCATCTGATCTCATTAACTGCTTGTCTGCATTACAAGCAATGTATTTGCAAAAGTTATAGATGAAGGATGAAAGCAAAAAACTCAAGATAGCTTCCAAAACAATTGGAACACATCTCTTCCTCTTACTCTAACAGCTAATGCTAAAGTTGTCTAAACACATGTCCCTGTTTAGATACTTATCTGATCACCAGTCATCGAAGACAGTCTCCTGAATATGTAAACGCAAAGTCAAGCAGTATGCTGGAAAACTAACCTATCCCAGCACCATGGAAAAAAGAGGAAGCAGCAGCTTGAATCTTAGGAATACCGTGTCTAACAAGATGAAATGGTAACCACAAAATAAGGTATCTTGACTTCATGACCTTTATTTTCAGCCATATCAGACCCATGATCAAATTCTTGTCCTATGAGGCACAGGGCTTATCCACGTTGAGCTAAGGCAGGACAGAGCATTAACAGCTCTGACTAGGCCCACATGACAGAGGTTGGGTCAGCTCTTTACAGCCCCATTCGAGCACACAAAAGCAAATAAACAGACAAGGCCTCTGACATTTCCTATATGAACTCTGTGCAGGAATTATAAAAGGCAAGTAAAAGACAGAATACGACATTATACTACTTTCCAGACGATTTAGTCTTGGAATTTACATCATATGCAAGTTGTATTTTGTAATACAGCATTATATGTCTGTATATATATGATATACTTTATCCTTAAGAGATGTATCTTACATATACAGATGATACTTTGGTTGCCCTCTTAGATTTGGTTCCCTCTTGCCTAGCACAGAGCAGAGGAGATGAAGCTCTTGCTTTTCTGCTCATGCCACTTGGACATAGCTGGTCATGTCCAGCATTCACCATGAGGGGTTTCTTTTTTGTATTGTGCAAAGAGAAATTAAGAGCTTCAAATATCAGAAGTGACACTGCACTATTCAAACACAGTTAACATTTAGATACTTTCACAAGGCAATTCTCTGAAAGAAGCCGTTTTCCTCGAAAATAAACCTCTTATTTAGCTGCAATAAAGTGTAACTTTAACAGTTATAGGAAAATATTCTGAAAAGCACATACCAGGATCCAAATACATGACATGAAATGAGTCACTTATCTTGACTTTTCCTTAAAATAACAATCAACTAATATGAATTCATGTTTTAGCTTTGTTTGCTTTAATCAACATAGGCTTTTGGATGAGAGAGACAGCTGCTACCATCTGCTTCCAAGCAGAAGGGCAGCTAAAGCTTCTTCAGGGTACTCACATGTGAGGACTGAGCTCATAGAAGTTTCGGTTTCTGTATTCCTCCACTTTCTCCGGAGAATAAATGGGTAGAGATCTGTAGGGGTTTATTGATATCACCACGCTGCCAATGTATGTCTGTTGAAGAAAATAAAAAGTTTGGAGGGTTTTTCTTTTAAAATATTTTTGCTCTTTACATATAATTCCCCCATTTCACACCTATACAAAGACACACTTGGAACAGGAAATAAGTTTGCACATTCACCCTAAAAGACCTTCTCAGGGCCTGTTGTCAGAATCTAAGCAGCTACTTCTGCATAGCAGGTTGCTGGTACAAACGTTGTTGGGAACTGTAAGAAAGTGCAATCAGACATTTATTTCTAGCTGGGAATAATGCAGTTGTGTGAGGGAGAAGAAAAGGACACGGATGTTCTCGAGAGCTGGCTCACGGCGTGCGGTCCTCACGTGCTCCTACAAGCCGTGCAGGGCAAAGCTGGAGTTGGCTGCACGCCCCTCACCTGAGCTTTCTCACAAACCTTGGCAAGTTGTGAATTCAGTATGTTGTCAAATCAGAAAAGCATCTGCAGAACACAGATGTATCCAAACCTTGAAGATTTCATCCTGAAACAGGAGGAGCTTTGGATGACAAACTCCTGACCTACCCTTTGCAGCTACTCTGTTACCAAGACCAGACCAGTTCAACTGCTGAGTTCCTTGAAGCATCTTGAGATGCCAAGGCGAAGGGAGGTCAATGAAAGAGCGAAAACTGTGATTCTTAATTTTGGAAACAGACATTCAAATAAGATTTATTTAGAAACCTCTCTTCATAGTTAAGTATTGTTCAGGCAATGTATTTTGGGAGTTCAAGTCATCTGCGTAATGCCAGAAATGTACAAATTCGGATAATTTCTTAAAATACCAATATTTCCAAAGGTCAAATGGCTATATAGAAACAAAGACATACACATGTCCTTTTTGGACACCAAAGCATGCCAAATCATTGTTCATTGATGCCAAGAAGCTTGCAAAAAGCAACACGTGAGCCCTTTATCCTCTTATATAAGCGCCAAATGACAAAACTGATCCCGAACAGATAGTTGCTGGTGATGGTCTACGAGATTCCACATCGCTGCAATAAACAGATCCAAAAAATAGCTTTCCCACATAACATCTGCCTTCCCACCAGAGCTCTACTATAAACAAACAAAGTAAAGGCTTAAATCCTGGAGCGAGCAGCAAGCAGAGCCACATTCCAGCGCTGAAAGCAGGACGCTAAGAGTAGTGGGAGACCGTACAGTAGCACCCCAGGGACTAAAGACATCTTTAATTTTTCCCTGTTTAAGGGAAAAAATGAAACCCCAGAGGAATGGCCGCGTGATGATGACAGCACAGAATGCAGGCAGGAGATCATGATTTCTTCCTTGGCTTTGCCACGGTCTTTTTATGCGAGTTTGGACAGGATCTGCTACCATCTCAGGTTTTTCTAACCGGAGCCTTTGCGTGATGTAGCTTCCTCTAGATTTCTACTTCACTGCAGGAGCTCACCAACTCGTCCAGGAGTCCAAAAGAGCAGGGCTCCAACGTGCAGCTTATCAGTGACCCGTCACGGAGGAAGGTGACACTGTAGACGCAAAAACACTGCGTCTGTGGAAAATGAATTTCTGTTTGGTCAAATGGCGAAACCGCCTGCATTCTCCACCGATATGCTGCAGGCAACTTGTCCCTGTTAAATAAAGGGTTTAAAAACCACCAGTCATTGGGAAAGGTACATACGGGGGCAGCCTTTGTCACCCTGCTTCTCCTCACGGCTAGAGGTAGCATTGCTAAGATGCCTTTAGCCACAACTCCGAAGGTGTTTGTACACGTACGAAGGTGTTTTCTTCCCCCCAGGCTGGGGAGCAGCGGGGTGACCATCGCGGCGCCTCGCGGCTGTCACAGCTCTCCTGCACGCGCGGCCTCCACTGCAAAGCGGCTTTCGGCAGCGCGGAAAGCTTTATTCCTCTTCCTGTTTTAAACACTGTTTTAGACGCGCGCAAACGCCACGAAGGGCGGGGAGAATAAGACTGCTAATGTGGGTGCTCAAGTCCCCTGTGTATGCAGGGCAGCTGAGATCCCCGTAAAGCGTGTATCTTTAGTGCTGATTAGGCTCAAATGTACTGTGTCCCTTTGATTTCGAACAGTTTCAGATCACTCCACCAAAACAATTCATTGAAACTGGAAACATTAAACAAGATCAAAGGGAGCTCTGCCTAGATTTTACTGGAGCAGCTCCAGCCCGAAGGCTCAAAGGGTATTTTTCCCTTACCGTGACGTGGGCAAGCCTCTGTTCCTGACGCTATTTTTCGTTTCCCTTAACTCCTGCCGGCTCCTCGGCACGTGCGCTGGAGGCCCAGAGGCAGCCGGCACCCACGCGCTCCCGCTTGTACCAACCACCCCCAGCGGGAACGGAACCCGTCACGGTTAACGCCGTCACGCCGCTCCGTAACGAAGCTCCTCGTTTTAATAAATATTAGTAGCGGAATCCCCTCCCCATTAGCGCAGCGTTTTTATTTGAAGAATCACGCGGAGTGCTCAGATTTGGTGTTTGTTAGTGCTGGCCACCACCAGCCGCCGCGCTCTGCTGTGGCTGCACCGCGTTCTCCAGCCTTGCAAAGCTGCAGGGCACTAAGTGCGAAAGGCATGAAGAAAACACGCACAGTAACAAAACACTTTGCAACGTTACTGCCACTTACTGTCTTCCTGTGTATCGCAGTGTAGGCGTATTTATTGTTTGGTGGGGAGGGATGGGCAGGGTTCTTGGAAAAACACTAATAAACAAACCAGGATCTCATCCTTTCATGTCCCAGGCTTGGGCCGCCCTCTCTCATGACGGCGCCCACAAAATAAACTTCCATCTGCAAGAGGCTGCAAAGGCACAACCCCCAAGCCAAGACCCTCAAAAGCTATAAATACTGGGGAAAAAAAGAAAAAAAAAAAAGGCAAAACAACAAGAAGGGGCTAACAAAGCTTGATTTCCTTGACCGGGCGCTTTGGTGTGGACTTTCCCACTTCCACCAAGGCCTGGGCTTGCACCACACCACAAGGACACTAGTCCTGCTGGCAAAAGCATCCACTGCGTTTGGCTCCTCCAATCAGTCCTTCCCCACAAACACGGCGTCCTCCTGGCCGGCTCCAAGGAGGCCCCACTCAGCAGGGAGATACTACAGATAAGAAAGTTTCCACCGCCCCTCGCGCTGGAAGGTGAGACAAGGCTAAAAATTTACTTTTCCAAGGTCTAGCCTGCAATAAACTGAAATTACAACCCAAACCCTTGCACTTAGTTCTACCTTCTTGCTACATGGAGAAACCCCTTAACCTCCCCTACTTCTTGACACGGCTGAACGTTTTTCACCATGGTTCAGATGGAGTCCTTTCTAAGTATGAAGGTAGACATGTAATATTGGATATCTGCACACGATTCATCCCCCATGACCATGAGGACGCTCTTGTTACAGACCCCGTCCTCCCGCATGCTGCATTTGGGCTCCGGGAAGGCGCTGAGCAACGCTGTTGTGCTGGGAACTGGGCAACACCACGCGTGCCCAGCGCAGTTATCAACCACGAGAGCAGCTTGCAAACCTGCACGGGACGAGACTCTGCAGCAGAAAACTACCTAGAAGAGCGCTGGAAGAACTCTGGCCTCGGGAAGAGAGAGAGAAAACACAACAACAGCAAAAACATATATCAAAGGAAGGAAGGCGAGTCAACAGTATCAACAAAACTGCCTAAAGGGGCTTCACTACGTGCTTGGTGCAGCCACCACGGTGCAAACGAGAGGCTGGAGGCGGAGGACGAGCGGCCAGGATCCAGCCCTGCACCGCGCTGCAGATCCGGGCCCTGCAGCCAGCACGGAGCGTTTCCCGGAGGCGGATACACACGCGGCAAGTCGGAGCAGGTCCCTCCCTGGGGGTGCCCAGGATCAGCTTTCACTTCCAAGCGTCTCGAGGGCATAAAATTCTCAGAACGTCACCGCTCGCCTGGAGACCGCGCTGCTGCTAATGAGGCAGATGAACCACCGCACTCCTCCACCTCGGACTGCAGGTGGATATTTGCTACCAACAAGGTAGCATTTCTCCAAGGGACAGACTGCAAATGAAGCCACTGACGTGACAAGCAAGGAAGAAAGTGTGGGAGGTTTTAAAGGGAAGCGTTTAAATACACTGCAAGGCCAATGCTGGCTACCTTTTGGGAAGATACAGAGTTGTTTTCATATGCAAACAGTAACCGGAGACCGCGTAGTGCCGGTGCCAAGAAATGCCTTGTATCAACGTGAAACAATCAGTGAAAACATTACCGAGCATGGTGCTCATTCCAAAACGTTTCATTCTTTTGCTATACCAAAAGAGTGGGGAAAAGAAAACCCCACCATTGTGCTGCAACTCAGGCTCATTTACCTTCTCTAGAACAAGAAGCGTGTTTTTAAGCTTACTGGATATTTTGCTCCTGCTCCTCTTTCTCACCCATCTTTCATCAATCTTGCTTTCTGGGTTTCCTTTCACATCGAGTGCACAGAAACGACTGATCAACGCCCCGAAGGACGCCGTCCCCTCAGCGAGAAGCTCACAACGGCTTCGGCACGGCCGACAGCAACGTGGGCACCGCGTGACGCCCCACTGGGCCGCCCTCCATCTCAAAGGATCCCATGGAAAAGCAGCAAGCTCGCGGGCCCCGGCCTGGGGCAGCTGTAGCCGGATTGCTGTTACTGCTCCTTCTCCCTGCACAAACACGGGGAAACGGCAAAACAGCAGAGACCACCGGGAAGCACCTCGTGCTGGGAAACAAGTGCCCGGCGGAAGGGGAGCCGCCAGAAGGCGGACCCGAGGATGACACCTCACGCGGCTGCGGCCGTGCATTTGCCCGGGATGCAAGGAACACGCGCTCGAGCCCCGCAAGGTGCTGCTGCCCAGAGCAGCCCACAGGCTCCGCGCGCAGAGAGGCCGAGCGGAGCGCGCCGAGCACCACTGCCTTCGGTCACAAGAGCGAAACAAAGCACAGAGCCAACAGGCCGCTTGTTGTCCTGACCCGAACGCTGACTCGGCTCCGAGATTCCCATTTCCAGTCCTTCCCCCGGAGCCGCTCACCGCCGGCCCCGCGAGCCCTCGTGCTCCTTTCTGCAGGCACGGCCTCCAGCTCGGCGCTCCGGCCTGCGAACTAACGCGCAAGGCTGCGAGACTGCCCGGCGGGGCACGTAAAAACCAACACCGGCTCATGGAGCTGTAGGCCGCCCTCTGCGAGGAGGGCACCTATTTCCCTAGGAAAATTCCCCCACTATTTCCCAAGTGCTAGGAGAGCACTTACGTCCCCACAGCAACTTTGAAACACTGATTCTTACAGCTTTTTTGTGCAAATTGAAGTATCAATTTCCATTTTGGTGATGACATCAGTAGCAGAGCAGTCTGTCTACACACCAAGTTTTCAGTCAAACAAAGCACTTCAACATAGCCAGGAAAACAGAGGGGCCGCTGCACCTTCCCTGTCCCTGAGCTCTGCGGAACCCAAGGCAGGTTTGGGAGAAACTATTTCGATAGTTTTAGACACTGCAGCCTGTATCAGACCCATCCCAGAAACGGAAACGCTGACGGGCGCACAGCCATCACACGCAGAGCCGGACCTCAACCTTCCACACAGATCCCTCGCCAAGAAGAGCTGGAGTTCCAAGGGGTTAATGTAGCTGCCAACATTAAACATCCAACATCAAACATAACCAATGGGAAAGACACTAGAGCAGACAAAAATTCTATTATTTTCTGCTGGAACAAGCAGTTATCTTGTCGTCCTTGGCGCCGGAGAGGGATTTGGCACTGCTGAAGGCTTGAGCCGAATCAAACACCCACCAAGACTGGCTAGCGAGTACGCAACACCTGGCTAACTTTAAAAGCTTTCCAACGCCATCATTATCTCATTCCTCACCATAAACCTTCTGCATATTGCAGCCTTGCAACTCCACTTTGGAAGCGACATACGTTGTATGCACAAAGCTGTCAGTCTGCTCAAAACCCGGTGCTGAAGACGCCTTCGTTGCACGCTGTAGAAAGCCTTCAACCCATGACCATGACTTGACTTAGCATCTTAAACTCAACGCAGCTTTTCGATGGCACCTGCGGTTAGGTGCTGGTGTCAAGGGTGA